ATTGATATTAATGCCCGAATTTGTCAGACCCTATGTCCGTGGTGCGGTTGGCCGGCGGCGTCCCTGGGTGTCCTACCTTGGCTTCAAGTTGGTGGTCCTGTTTTATCCTCCTGGTGCCACGTTGGGTCCTGGGTATATCCTCCTGGTGCAGAGACAATGTCATGGGCCTCAATGTGGGTAGGAGTATGCAAGGGCAGTTCTCCCCTGTAGGATGAGGAAATTCACAACCATTGAAATGCGCCACCAAAGCCTAAATCCAATAGAAACACCTCTGGGATGTCAATGTGTTTTGCGTCTCCGCATCCAACTCTGCCAGGGGATGCACCTCCAGCACTGGTCCCAGGAGCTCCAGTAGGTTTCCCTGGTCCAGATACCTGTGGACGGAAAATCCCTCCAGGACAAACCAATCGTCGTTCTCATTAGGAGCCTCCCCCACCCGTTGTCTAGAGCATATGCATACAAGGCATTAGTAGGAGGGCCAACACAGGACTACAGAGTTCATTCTGAGATTGAGCTGCAATTTAAATTCTCAAGCGACAATGGACTCTTAGCCTGTGCTTGTAGTCATTTTTTCACTTGTGATTTCATTGGTGTCTGAGAATTTCAGTTCCGACTGTAGATCAATCATTTTCATTTCCTTCAAAGCAATGGGGCGTCCTTACATTGCCCTGTCAATCATCAAGTATACACTATTCAGGCAAGAGACTTTCTCCCCATTAGAGAGATCTGAGATGGGTTTTCAAGATGTTCCTTTCATTTTTTGAATACTAGTAAATATATATATATATAAAAGTTTTTCATGCATTCTCTATGGCACACGACCCCATAATAGGGTTAGGGTCTGGACCAAGTGTTGGGTATCTACCTGCTGACTTGGCAACAACCTCATCTTTTATATATTTACCTAACGAAAAATTGAAGTTACATAGTAATGTATTTCTTTTCTCAAAAATTCAAAAACATATCACCATTAGAAATTCTCCAGGGCGGCTCTGATTTTCATGATCATATATGTTTGGGGGTTTTAAACTAATTCCTTCAGCGCCCAAAGACAGCGTGTTTAATGATGAGTACGCAAAAGAAAAAATGCAGAGAACAGCTCTAGGCAGTGAGAGGGTATAATTGTGGGCTAGATGTGGATTAACTCTGGTGGGGTCTCACTGCGTACTCATTAGAGCTCCCCCTAGTCTGCAGCTCTGGTAATAAACATTGCGGTGCTCGGGAGGTCCTATTCACACTCTACATACTTCCCACCCTTTATAGAAACATATTCTGCAGCCACAGTGGCTCAGTGGTTAGCACTTCCTCCTAGCAGCTCTAATGTCATTGAACTTTGAATTCAAAAACCACTTCCCTTAACTGTTCTGTTGATGCTATGCATGTTTCTCCTGTGCCCTGTCGTGGGGGTTTCCTCTGTGAGGTACTGCCGGTTTCCCCTCCAACACTCCAAAGACATTGCTGGAAGGTAATGTGGTTGTCCTGTCTATATTTGTCCCCTTGTATGAGTGTATGTATGAATGTTTATGTTAGGACTCTTACGACTGTGTAGTGCTCCTCCGGGAGGCTGGGACTGATGGGGAAATATATATAGTAGAATTTGATGTCCCTATATAGGTAGTGGTAAAAATTAAGCATCTATGGTAGTCTTGTTCATAACAAAACATAATTGACACAGCCATACACCCGGGTGATATTGTGGCCCTGTCCATTCCCTATGATGTGATATGGGATCGGGGGCAGTAGCAGGCAAGTAGGCTCTGTGCTGGGTCGTGCGTGGTAATGGTTTTCCAATGGATATAAAATCTAGGAGGAAATAGCACATTTGGCAATAAGATGGTTGTAATTTCTATTATATACTATTAGCGCCATCGAAAGAGACCAGAAATGTATGGCATATTTATTTAATTGACTTTGTAAAATCTTCGCTTGCCCCTAGATGATGGATGGCTGGCAACCCATCCCCCACCGGCTCCAAGTTTGAGTGCAGAACATCAGTAAATCACGGTGATATGCATGACCATGAGGTATCTCACAAAGCCCGTTCTCGAGCAGAGAGATGGTGACTGTGCACTTCTCACCGCTCCTCTTGCCATGCCCCCGTCGCACCCACAACTAGGCACTGGGGCTGATGGAGAGGGAAAGTGGTGCTGGCAGGTCCAGACCTCTTGAAGATGTGGGGTGATCCTCTTCCCCAACCCTGAGGACGGCTGAGTGACATCCAGCTGTCAGCGTGGGCTGCATCACCTGAAAAACGATGGCGGGGGGGGGGGGGGGGGGGGCTCAACAAGGAAGATCAGAATGTAACTGCAACTCCCTCTGAATCCACAGGCGAGAATTACAGACCAAAGAGAGCTTGAGCCTGAACTTGGCTGTCTTCAGTCAAGAATTTGTTGTCCTCCAACATGTCCTACATTCGCTGTATCTGTGACGGCTGTCCCATGTCCTGGTATGAAGACATCTCCTCTTATTTTGTTTCTGTATTGCTTCCTTTGTGTGATCCTGAGACAGTACCCTCATGAATTTCCTATTAAGACCTGAACCACACTCCAGGCATGACACAGCTCATCACATGGTCAGTTCATGTAGCTGTGTTGGGGAGCTCCTCGGGCTTGCTCTCCTGCCAATCATTCAGATTTGTCCTGACCATAACCCCCACCCCCTCCCGAACACAGCCATTTACTTTGGGAAAAGGACTCAGTGAACTGAAGACAAGTGATCACGATGAATGGTAGTAAGGAGATGTCACTTCCTTGATATATCATTGCTCAGTACCAGTGAAATACTTGTGAAAATGATCACCGCGAGGTCACAATGGTAGCAGTGGATATTCCCAACAGACCTTGTACCAATGTGACACGCTTGTTAAACCAATTCACAGCATCTCACAGTACTTTCTTAATGGCATGCAAGAATTGGAGCCAGAGAGTTTGGATAAATTATTGCTGTTTGCAGCCTTTTAGGGTGACAAAAAAACATAAATAATAATATAAATAAAAAAATATAACTGTAAAATTTTTTTTTTGAAAAATTAATAATTATATGGTTATAGAACCCTAATTTGTGGTTTTTATATACTAAAAAGATTATCTGACTTACATTTTTGAAGTCAAGAATTTAATGAAGAAAGATTATTTATTTGCCTACATTTTATAAGATAAACACTTTTTTTTCACTGTTTTTGGACTCATTCTGCTCATTTATATCTAGCTAAAAAAAAATAGAAGATATCCACGCGGTGAATAAATACCCCGACCAAAATAAAGTTTTAATCTTGCCACAGAGTGCGGGAGTGTCTGACCCTCAGTGAGGAGGGTGCTGGGAGGTGTGACCTCAGTTGAGCGGGAGTGTGACCTCAGAGTGCGGGAGTATGACGCACTCAGGGTGTGCGGGAGTGGATGTAACCTCAGGTATTGCGTGTGAGATGTGGACCTCAGAGTGCGGGTGAGGGAGTATGACCTCATGAGTAGCGGGAGTGTGACCGGTCGAAGTGATGGAGCTTGGGACGTGTGACCCATAGAGCGGATTGAGACCACAGAGTGTGGGATGTGACCTCAGAGTGCGGGAGTGTGACCTCAGAGAGAGCGGGGAGTGTGACCTCAGAGTGCGGGAGTGACTCAGGTGACGGGCTGACCTCAGAGTTGCGGGGAGTGTGAGGGTGCGGGAGTTGACCTCAGGTGACTCAGGGTGCGGAGTATGACCTCAGAGTGCGGGAGGAGTATAGGACCTCAGAGTGCGGGAGTGTGACCTCAGAGAGCGGAGAGTGTGTGACCTCAGAGTGTGGGATGTGACCCTCAGAGTGCGGGAGTGTGACCTCAGAGAGCGGGCCTGTAGTGTGACCTCAGGGGGTGCGGGAGTGTGACCTCAGAGTGCCGGGAGTGGTGACCTCAGGGTGCGGAGTATGACCTCAGAGTGCGGGAGGGAGGTATGACCTCAGAGTGCGGGGCGCTGGGCAGTGTGACCTCAGTGTGTGGGATGTGACCTCAGAGTGCGGGAGTGTGACCTCAGAGTGCTGGGAGTGTGACCTCAGAGTGCGGGAGTGTGACCTCAGGGATGATTACTATGGGAGCCCTGTCTGATGAAGGAAACCAAGGGCTCTATTTATAGAACATTCATTGGAGACCAATGAGACAATCATTCCTCCAGCTGATGACAACATCCAGCCCTGATGTTAAGTAACACAGTGATTTCCTATGATCGCCGGCTCCATCTAGTGGCCAACAATGAGGTGATTTTTCTGAAATATCTCCATCAGTTAAAACTAGCCCAATATGATATTATGGCCACTAGATGGAGCCAATGATCATAAGAAATAAAATACGGCCAAAACTCCTCCCAGTTTTTAGATTGCTGGTCACATCCATTCAACATTGTTCTCCATAGAACTCCAAGTGTTTGTGAAATCTCCCACCACAAAATGTACTCAGCCAATCAAAGGGCAGGACTCCATTTTTATTGTTGTGTCCTGCAGAGTCAATAGTACTCATGTGTGTCGGAGTATGATCTCAGGGATGTGAGGATGAAGCCATGTCTGACCAAGGAAGATAAGGGGGCTATTTATAGGAAATTAAATTATGGCCACTAGATGGAGACAACGTTCATAGAAAATAAATACGGGCAGAATGTCGGTCACATTTGTTCCCTCGATTTATTTATTTTTTTTTTAGACCCCTAAATGGTTACAAAATCTTCCGCCACAAAATGTACTCAGCCAATCACAGGGCAGGACTCCATTTTTATTTTTCTCCTGCCATCAATGGCCAACCCGTCCCACACTTCATCTCCATGCCTTTGGGGACATCTGATCTCCTTATGAACTGTTTCTTCCATGATGAAGATCAGCCATGGAGTATATCTGAGGTGTATATCAGGGTGTGCTTCTTCCCCACATGAGAGCTGGGATGTCCAGCAACATTCATCTAGAAGACATTTCCCACACTCAAGGCCACTAATACACCTCCAGGGTTGTGTGGGACCCCTGATGTAAACAGGAAGACAGGACTTCAGTGAGGAACATTTCCCTCACTCAGGACAGGAATACGGCTTCTCCCCCGTGTGAGATCTCTGATGGTGTGTAAAGATTGGACATCCGTGAAAAAACATTTCCCACACTCAGGACAGGAATACGGCTTCTCCCCCTGTGTGAGATCTATGATGTGCATGAAGACTAGCACCTTGTCTGAAAAACATTTTCCACACACAGAACAGGAATACGGCTTCTCCCCTGTGTGAGATCTCTGATGTGAGTAAAGATTGGACTTATCTGAAAAACATTTCCCGCACTCAGGACAGGCATAAGGCTTCTCTCACCTGTGTGAGATCTCTTGATGTCTGTGAAGACTAGTTTTGTCTGAAAAACATTTCCTGCACTCAGGACAGGAATACGGCATTCTCCCCTGTGTGAGATCTCTGATGTGTGTAAAGATTGGACTTCTGTGAAAAACATTTCCCGCACTCAGGACAGGAATACGGCTTCTCCCCTGTGTGAGATCTTATGATGTGCCTGAAGACTAGCCTTGTCTGAAAAACATTTTCCACACACAGGACAGGAATACGGCTTCTCCCCTGTGTGTGCAATCTCTGATGTGAGTAAAGATTGGACTTATCTGAAAAACATTTCCCCGCACTCAGGACAGGCATAAGGCTTCTCTCCTGTGTGAGATCTCTGATGTGTGTGAAGAGACTAGTTTTGTCTGAAAAACATTTCCGCACTCAGGACAGGAATACGGCTTCTCTCTCCCCTGTGTGAGATCTCTGATGTCTGTAGAGATGGGACGTTTTTGAAAAACATTTCCGCACTCAGGACAGAAATATGGCTTCTCACCCCTGTGTGCAATCTCTGATGTATGTAAAGATTGGACTTTTGTGAAAAACATTTCCCGCACTCAGGACAGGAATAGGGCTTCTCCCCCATGTGAGATCTTTTATGCCTATTAAGATTTGGATTTACAATGGAAACCTTTCCCGCCACTCAGTACAGGAGTTAACCTCTTCCCTGTTGGAAGGCCGGCCCGGTCCCGCACAGTCTGAGGTTCCTCAGGATACGAGGAATCCGATGGTCCATCTACACTGGGTTGGTGGGGTGCCGGATGGACATTGGAGGGAGCCGGGTTTTTCTCCTGGACTATACTGTGTGATTGTCCTCATCTTCTACTTTCCAGTCTGGAGACAAAGTGAGACAATCCTCGGAGGTTTTCCTCATCTCCCGGCCATGGACTAAAATACAAACGACAAAGAGGATTACTAGACAGGAGCTGATTGGTTCCCCCAAACCAGGACTCCGCCCACATCAGGCAGCTTGGTCTCTGAGGAGCTTACAATTCCACCCTCAAGGGAACTAAGAAATGGCTCCTCTGATCTCCTACCAGGTCATTTCTTTATTCATGGACCTTAGTCAGAGAGTGAGGAAACAAACCAGTAAAACTGTCTTTTATAGGAGGGACAGTGATGAGGGGATTATAGGACGAGGGTCACCCCACCCCCTCTATCACTCATCGCCATCTTCCCAACACAAGAAGTACTGCACTTCCTTATTTACTCCATGATTTAGTCATGAAGAACAGCGGGGCTGAGCCCCACCAGAGGTCAGAGAGTGAGGATGGGGGGAGAACAACCAAGATGAAGACTGGACTGATCCTGAAGACCACCATCATTGGGGTATTGACTCCTCCCTCATTATCACTTTCTGTTTAAGGGTCTAAAGTTGGAGGATGTTATCACATTATTATCACCATGTAAAAGTCTGTGCTCCAATCACATCATCCGATATAAAATGTCCAGGTGGGAGGGGGGGGAGGAAATGGGGGGTAACAAAAGAGAATCCATATTATGTGTATATATAGCAGTGGGGGGAGGGGGGCGGGGGAGCAGAAGTGAGGAGTATGTAATGTACAACATAGAGTATATAGTGCAGGGGTCAGGAGTATGTAATGTACAACATAGAGTATTATAGTGCAGGGGTCAGGAGTATGTAATGTACAACATAGAGTATATAGTGCAGGGGTCAGGAGTATGTAATGTACAACATAGAGTATATAGTGCAGGGGTCAGGACGATGAGTATGAATGTACAACATAGAGTATATAGTGCAGGGTCAGAGAGTATGTAAATTGTACAACATAGAGTATATAGTGCATGGGGGTCAGGAGTATGTAATGTACAACATAGAGTATATAGTGCAGGGGTCAGGAGTATGTAATGTACAACATAGAGTATATAGTGCAGGGGTCAGGACGATGTATATGTACAACATAGAGTATATAGTGCAGGGGTCATGAGTATGTAATGTACAACATAGAGTATACAGTGTAAGGGTCAGGACTCATAATATTGGTACAGGTATTCAGCAATCAGCAGAGACTTGAATGTTTACTGTAGACAAGTTGCAGAGATCCCACACCGCTGCCTCCCATCTCCTGAGACTGCACTCAGTGACTTGGGTCTGAGACACTACAGACATATCCCTCCACCCCACAGCCAGCCAGCAGATAACAGAGAAGGTCCCCTGGAAGAGTCAGGCACAAGGCAGGAGACCCCAGTCACATGTCCCTGGGTGCCTACATTATGCAATGCTTAGAGTAAAAACCAACATTTTGCTGCCAGCTGAACCCCAGAACCTCCATAAATCCAGTCTAAGAGACATAAATTGTGTCTGCAGCACAGGAGAATCGGAAGATTATCCGAGAGAAATCCAGGAATACAGGTCGGGGAACACAGCTCAGGAAAGGTGTGTGACCAGAGGGATTACAGGCTGATATCACCCAGTCCCCGCCCTACTCTGGACCAATCAGTGAGCAGTATGGGTGGAGGAATGGATTTAGTGTTCATGACCCACCTGTGCTGATCTCTGTAGGAGTGTCCTCCTCTATAAATGTCCCCCGTTATTTCCATCCTCCTCCATAGACTGCTGATCATCCCTCACTCACATACGCCTCTTCTTCTGATTTAATCTCAACTTTTATATCTATCAGATCTTCACCCTAAAATAAAATAATAATAGAAGAGAGCTCATCTGTAAAACATAAACTCCAATATTGTTGCATCACATAAAAAAAATCACCCCTAACAAGTCCATGTTCTAGATGCTCCATCCCACCAACCTTGTAATGGGTGAGGGATGGTGTGATCTTCCTGTGTGGAATCCCGGGAATACAGAGGACGGGGACATCTCTCTGGTGGGTTCCTGGTATTTAGGTGGCTCCATCATATCCTTTTGTCCTTCTGAAAACTCCTCCATCACTCCATATACTCCTCATCCTCCTCTTTATACTCTTCTTATTAACATCAATATTATCATCCCCGAGGATTCCACTCTCTGAAGAAGATATAATAAAACATTCATTGTAACAAACATGCTGTGTATAAATCACAACTACCAATAATTGTCATCATCTACCTGATGAAGGTGAGGGATGGTGTGACCTTCCTGTGTGGAATCCCGGGAATACAGAGGACGGGGACATCTCTCTGGTGGGTTCCCATGACTGGAATCCATCTGTAGGAAAACACACACACTGACTGAATCCATTGTTTTATGTGTTTTATCAGATGATGGGGGATCTAGGTGGATCCTCCGTACTGCTCTCTTCCTTTACAATAAAGTCTCCTCTTACCCGGTGATGTTGAGGGGCGGCTGATTGTCCATCATGACGTCCTTGTAGAGATCCTTGTGTCCTTCTAAATACTGCCCCACTCCTCCATGGAGAAATATGACAGTGACACCCTGGACACCTTATAGGAACCTGACACACACAATGATACAGTCACCATCCAGACACATCCCCTTGTCTAGTTACTGGAGAATGTCCCAGAATTCCCGGCAGGACACCGCTCACCCTCTCCTGTCCAGCAGCTCAGTGATCTCTCTGGTGACTTCTAGAATCTTCTTCTTCTTTCTCTCTTCTATCAGGAGGGAGGTGGAGGCGGCAATGTGATGTCATAATGATCTCCAGACTTCACAGGAGGAAAACTCTACATCTGAACACAAATAGTCACATCAAATGATATTCCCAGAATCCTCCTCACCTCTCCATTCAGGTCTCCATTTTATTAAAGCCCCACTTCAGGCTGAGGTATAATTCCCCCCCACAGGACCCCCACACTATGCAGGGTAAAGCTTGGCATGAGCAACTCTGATGTCATTACATATAAGAGGACAAACCTGTGTTAGTGAGAATAACAAGTACCTGCTGACATCCTAAGAACATCAGAAAAAAAAGTCAGATGGAGGGACATTGGGAGGAGGAGCTGTGAGGTCAGTGTGATGTCATAGGATTCTCTGACTCTGGATGGATGGACATTGGGAGGAGGAGCCATGAGATCAGTGTGATGTCATAGGATTCTCTGACTCTGGATGGAGGGACATTGGGAGGAGGAGCTGTGAGGTTAGTGTGATGTCATAGGACTCTCTGACTCTGGATGGAGGGACATTTGTGGATGGGGAGATTTGAGGGGTCCTTTATATGAGACTCCTTTGCAAACCAAATCCTTGTTCCTGGGTGCGTCCTACCTCTCCTAAACTGAAGAGTGACCTTTGACCTTTACCATCCAGAAATCTGTCCGGAATCTGTGGAAGTAAGCTGTCATGTGATCAGGTGACATGCGGAGGAACGGAGTGTAAATAGCAGACAATTGTCTCCAGAGCCCCTAATGGTGGGGATGGATTTGGCGGCGTGCTGGTGCCAAGTTTCCTCCCCCCAGGGTCACTGCAGGTGTGGAGAAAAGCTGTGTAAGAGGATATTAGCTTCAGTGCTAATCCGTGTATTCTGAGAGCGGAGGAGTCCCCCCATTGTCAGAATACAAGAGTGCAGCGGGGAGGATTCCCCCATCCACCTCCAATGTGTGGATGGGGGAATCGCTTCTATTTCCTTCCATGACCTTTTTGTCTCCGGCTCCCTTAACCTACTAGCAATTACAGAAACCTGACTCCAAGCAGCAGATTCTGCTTCCCCCGCAGCACTTTCCCTATGGAGGCCTCCTCTGGACCCACTCACCCAGACCCAGTGGTCAGAAAGGTGGTGGGGTTGGTTTGCTTCTATCCTCACTGAGCACCTTCCATGTCCTCCCTAACCCTCCCTCTCTATCCTTCTCTTCTTTCCAGACTCACTGCATTCGGCTGTTTTCTCCCATTTCTCTGAGGATTGCAGTGATCTATCGGCCTCCTGGACCCGTGTCCCGCTTTCTTGATGATTTCTCCTCCTGGCTACCCTACTTTTCTCTCCTCTGAGCTACCCGCTATCATTCTCGGAGATTTTACCATTCCTATTAATGTCAACAACCCGGCTACATCCCAACTCTTCAACATAACCTCATCTTTTGCATTAGCACACAATGTATACAGTCCTCCACTCACTCTGATGGGAATACATTAGACCTTGTTTTCTCCCATCTTTGCACTCCCTACAACCTCACAAACACCCCCCTTTCCTCTCTCTGATCACAATCTCATCACCTTCACAGTCTCCTCGTCTTCAAACACCTATCCCTCCAAGCAGCCAACAATTACCTGCAGAAACCTTCACAACTTGAACCCGGCTCCTTTCCACTCTGCAACTGACCAACTCTATGACAGAATCTCTCCCCTGTCCTGCCCTGACCTGGCCACTGCTGTCTACAACAGTTCACTGTCATCTACACTGGACTCACTTGGTCCTCTAACAACACGAAGCATCAGGCCCATCAGACCATTACATCCGTGGCAGACTGAATAAGCTTAACAAGCATTCACCCGATATAAATGTTTTTTCACATACAATTCCTCCATGCTGCCAATCAAGCCTACTTAGTCACTCTTATTCATACCTTCCAGTCCTCATCATCTCTTCTCTACTTTTAACTCTCTACTTTCTCCACCTCCTCCTCCCAGCACCTCACTCACTGCTTATGAGATTGCAAATCATTTCAAAAACAAGATTGATGCAATTCGTAGGACATCACCACTGCACAGACATCCATGCCCACTTAGCATACCTTATACTAAACCTCCCTCAACACTTTCCTCTTCTTTTTTTGTTTACAAAACGATTTTATTGTACATGATAGACAGTAAAAACAACAGCACATGTTAAAGTGATATTGTCAGCAAAAACAAGGCACTTTTGAAAAGTACAATACATAAAAATATATTAACATAACAAAGAAGAGAAAAGAAAAGAGGAAGTATACGAGTGCATGAAATACGTAAACGATAGAGTAGGTTTGAGTGGATACATCTGTCAACAGTATATGTCAGCCAACTTGTACTGGGGATAATTATTAAGCATGCAATAAATGTCCACAATCTCTCCATGACTCCCATTTTTTATTGTATAAGTGCATCTTATCCAGTAGGTAATAATGAATATGTATTTCCATAAGCATTACAGCGTCAATTCCTGTGTAAAACGGAGTCCAAGGGTACAACATTGGACCTCCAATGTAGGGCAATAGAACCATAAAGTGGCAATACATAATGTATGTATCAATCTCAGATTGGCATCAGAGACCTCTGGGATATGGGTAACCCCCCCAATAAACAGGTCTGCATGGACAATCGTATCGGGGTACCCGACAGTGAGGCAGCCACCTCAAAATCCTACGCCAGATCAAAGATATGGTCGTCCGGGCAATCCCAAAATAAATATGAACCAAAAGTACCCCGTGCAGTCACAGCCCCGAAAACATAGAGGGGACGTTTGTGGAAACAATACATGTAGTCTTGACGGGGTATAATACCATCTGTTAGAACTTTAAGGGCCGTCTCATGAACCACAGAGATCTAGAGCTCTTGCATATATTATCCACCATGGAATCAACACTTTTTCCTTCTGACCTCGCTATTACTGAAGAGGTCACTAAGGTTTTCTCAGAAGCTCATCTCACAACCTGCCCCCTGGATCCTGTCCCCTCAAAACTAACTACGGTCACCCTCTTCTTCCATCCTATGCTCCCTCACTCACATCTTCAATCTTTCCCTCTCTACTGGTGCCTTTCCCCCTCCCCTCTAAAGCATACACACATCACTCCAACTCAAAACTTAAAAAGCCCTCCCTGGACCCCACCAACCTGAACAACTTAAGACCCATCTCCCTGCTGCCATTTACCTCTAAACTCCTAGAACGCTTAGTCTACATCGCCTGAGCTCCTCCTCACCGAGACAACAACCTTCTTCCGGCCACCCACTGCTCTGTACTCATCCCAACCAATGGCCGCTACTCCATACTAATCCCAACCAATGACCACTACTCCGTACTCATTCATCCCAACCAATGGCCACTATACTACCCGTACTCATCCCAACCATGGCCACTACTCCGTACTCACCGTATGCTCATCCCAACCAATTACTGCGTACTCACCCAACCAATGGCCACTCACCAACTCTGCTTACTCATCCCAACCAATGGCCACTACAACCAATACTCATCCCAACCAATGGTCCCCCACCACTACCCGTACTCATCCCAACCAATGGTCACTACTCCATACTCATCCCAACCAATGGCCACTACTCCATATTCTTACTACTTGACCTCTCTGCGGCTTTTGATACTGTTGACCATCCCCTCCTTCTCAAAAAACTCCACTCTCTTGGCCTCTGAAACTCTGCTCTCTCCTGGTTCTCCTACCTATCGCAGCGCTCCTTCAGTGTTACCTATAATGCTGCCTCCTCCTCTTTCTGTAGGGGTCCCCTCAAGGTTCTGTCCTGGACCCCTTCTCTTCTCCATCTACACCTCCTCCCCTTGGTCACTTTGATAAACTCCAATGGCTTTAAGTACCATCTCTATGCTGATGACACACAAATCTATGTTTTTTCTATCCTCACCTCACCCCTTCAGTCTCCTCCTCACCTCACCCCTTCAGTAATCCTCTCCCATCACTAACCTACTAAGTGACATATCGGCATAGATTTCACTCCACTTCCTCAAACTCAATCTTTCCAAAACTGAGCTCTTAGTATTCCCTCCAGCCCTGTGCCCCTCTCCTCTGACTTCTCCATAAAGATCAATAACACGACCATCAGTCCCACCCCTCATGCCAGGGTACTAAGGTGTAATCCTAGACTCCCATCTGTCCTTTTTCAGTCCCAAATCCAATTGCTTGTCCAAATCTTGTAGACTTCACCTCCCCAACATCTCCAAGGTACAACCCGTTCCTAACCTCGGGAAACCACTAAGCAACTTATTCACTCCCTTTGTTATATCTCGCCTTGACTATTATAACTCCCTTTTTCATTGATCCTCATCACAGGCCTAGTTCCTCTCTTCATCTATCATGAATGCTGCCCAGCCAGACTCATCCATCTTACTAACAGTTTTTTCTGTATCAGCCACCCCTCTCTGACAATCCCTCCACGTGCCTCCACTCAGTGTTCTCCACCCCTCTCTGCCAATCTCTCCACTGGCTTCCATTCAGTGTCCTCCCATCCCTCTCTGCCAATCCCTCCACTGGCCTCCATTCAGTGTCCTCCACCCCTCTCTGCCAATCCCTCCACTGGCCTCCACTCAGTGTCCTCCACCCCTCTCTGCCAATCCCTCCACTGGCCTCCATTCAGTGTCCTCCACCCCTCTCTGCCAATCCCTCCACTGGCCTCCATTCAGCCATTTATAACTCTGCCCCCAAATTACATCACCGATCTTGTCTCTAAATATCACCCAAACCATACTCTCCGCTCCTCGAAAGACCTCCTGCTCTCTTGCTCCCTTTTCTCCTCCTCCCATCTC